TTGGGGGGCGGGGGTAAGAGGGAGAGATCAACCAAAGGATTGTATGCATTCATATAAGCATAACCAATGGACACAGACACCAGGGGGGTGAGAGCATGAGTGGGAGGTGTGGGGGGGGTAATGTGGGGATAAGGACACATATGTAATTACTTAATCAATAAAAAAATAAACAATTAAAAAAATAAAAAAATAAAAAGGAGGTTTAATATTTTAAAAAAAATAAAAATAAAATAAAGAATAATAAATTTAAAAAAAAGAATGGTTCTCACATTTGGCCCCGTAAGGGTGGAGAAGACATCTATAATAATAAAAGCATAATATGCTAATTAGACCAGACATCCTTCCTTCTGGACAAAGCCGCAGCGGGTGGGAGCCGCAGCAGAGGTCCTTGGCTGCTGCAGCGGTGGATAGGGGCTGGGACCAAGGCCCTTGCACGAATTTTGTGCATCAGGCCTCTAGTATAAATATAACTCATAACCTCCAGGAGAGACAGGATTACTTGGTATTTGCATTACATCTTTTATTTATGAAATTAATACACTTAAAGGATTTCACTTAAACAGTTTCATTGAATCCTCCCATCAACCAACCCTATGAGGTGACAATTTTTACTATCCCATTTTATAAACAAGAAAACTGAAGCTTAGAGAGTTAATTTTCCTGAAATCAGAAAATAGTAAGAAAAGCTGGGATTCAAACAGATCTAGTTCCAAAACTTATGTGCTTCACTACCCTGTTATCTGTCCTGTCTGGAGAGCATTCAGCCAGGAAGTTGATACATGTAGAGAGTGTGCATTAGTTATGGTAATTTCTACTAGTAAATGGAGGTTGTGGTGGATATCTACTCTCCATATGTCTGCTTCTCATGAATATGGAGTCTTCCTAGCATGTACATGTCGTTAAAAGCATCACTGGCCAGTGGTGGCTTCTTGCTGAACGTTTTTAATTCACTATATACCATAAACCTAAATTTGACATAAAATACAGGCCAACCCCACCTCCCTCAACCTCAGACCTCCACCCTGTTTCCTATTTTAAGAATTTTGTTATTAATCAAATGGCTGTGAGGGGGGGCAGAGTGGGAGGTTAATTGGGGAAAAAGGAGGCATATGTAAAACTTTAGACGATAAGAAAAAATACATCTTCCACTCTAAAAAAAAAATAAGATTTTTTTAATTAATCAAGTCATCTAGACTCAATAGCTATAAAAGCAGTAACAGCTAACACTTACTGAGAATACATTCCAGTTATTGTGCTAAGCATTTTAGACATCATGCATTTAACCCTCTGAGCTACCATACGAGGAAGGTACAATTATTAACCCCATTTTATAAATGAGGAAATTGAAGCTTATATAGATGACCAAAGGTGACACCTTAGCTTCATCTTTCATTTTTCCTCTTATTCACCCTCCGTAGCTCATGAATCACCAATTCCTCTCAATTCTCCCTTTGTGCTATTTCTTGCATTTGTTGCTTTCTTTCCATGTTCACTGCCACTGTAACAGTCTTGGCCCTTTATGACTTATGTATGAATTGTTGCCATAACCCAATATAGTCTATCTTATTCCATGATCCCTTTTCTTAGACCTTTCTAATATGCTTTGGTAAGACTAAGCCACCTAAAATCCCACTTTTAGCCTATCCATTTCGAAGTCCAAACCTTTAAACCGGAGAAGGTACTCCCAAATATCCCCAGGGGTCTATCCTTGGACAGTGTAATGGCAGCAATATTTTGTTTTTAAATTAAATAATTTTATTATATTAAAATTAAAAGGAAAAAAAATGTTACAACTATAGGTTGAAATTACAGGACAAGATACATAATAAAGATAAGCAAATATTGTACCATATAAATGTGTAGCTCAAATTTCATGTATTCTAGCAGTGGGGAGCTCTCACTGGTCATCTGACCAACCCAAATATGCAGTTCGATTTCTCAAAGGCAAGCCTTTGCATAAAAAAACAGTTATGTAAATGTGCTTAGTGTTTTCTATGTATTTCTAAACTTTATTATTAGTAGTATTAAAATAAATGTACATGGTAAAGGAAAAATTGAATCAAAATACCACCAAAGGATTTAGCAATAAATTTTTTTTCTCTCTCCCCCAAGGATAACCATTGAATAAGGTGATTTGTATTTTCTTCTTTACACTTTACACTTTTCTGTAATTTATAGACTTTTAGTAATGCACATGTATAGCCTTATAATGGAAATGAAAGCCAATAAAGAATAATTTTAAAAAGGAACCAAATTTTCCGCCATTCCCTGCTATTTATAAAAGCTAAATTATTTGACTTAGGCCCTATGTACTCTGGCCCCAAACTGCTTTCCAGGCTTATTATACACAATTCAATACAAAGATCTGCTTCAGTTAAAGCATTTTAAACTCTCTTTCCGTGCGGTGTCTCTATGTGTTTTCTCTTCCTGTGAGTTTCCCCGTTCTCTTTTAATATCCCAATTGACTCTATTGTTCAAGATCTAAGTCAGCTCTATCCAGTCTTCCTAAAAAGGGAGGAATCAGTATGCAGCGAGTGTTTACCGTGCGGGCTATGCATTAGGTTGGTGCTTTACTTGGTATTCATTTGAACCTCCCAGCAGCTCTGGACGGTTTGTATGAATTACCTTCATTTTACAGATGAGGAAACGAAGTGTCCCTCAAGTCACACAGCCAGTCGCTGGAATTTGTAGCCGGCTATCCTGTCTCAGCTCAGTGACCTCTCATTTTTCCACCAGCTTTTGTAGCACATATCTGGGTAAACTGGACCAATAATCACAGAAGCACATTCTAAGATTTCTTATAATGTTATTTTGAATGCCTTCTATTTTGTGTTTTTGTTATTTTGAATGCCATATATTTTGTACTTTTTTTTTGTTAACAAAACCTCCTGTGGGTTCTAATGTGCTATTTCCTAGCAATATGTCTTTGGGCTAACTCTTTAACACCTTTCGTAGCCTCAACTCCCTCCACTGTAAATTAGGAAGATGATAATAATACCTAATTCTTAGGGTTATAACAAGAGTTAAAAACCCAGGATATAACTTGTACAAAAGAGCTGATTGTTGTGTATTTGATTTAATATGGCAATATTAGTTTATTTTCAAATTCCATTTAATTTCTAGTTGTCTTTTTATAGTAATAGTTTAAGATATTTCTAAAACTCAGTGACCTAAAGAAGACTAGATTTTTATCTTCCATACATTAAAAAACAGATTTTACACAAAATTAAAAAGTACTTGTTTGCTACTTGTCAGAATATCCTATCTTGCTATTTAACCAACATTGAACAGAGGTTCAGTTATTTGTTAAAGACTGTTTGTTCCTAAGGGTAAATGTTTATTTACATTTATAAACACGAATGTTGTTATTGAATGTTGTCATTGTTAGTCCAGAAAGCCACTGAGGACTTGAAACCTATATTTACTTGGAAAATGGAAAAATTAGTTAAAAATCCCTGATATTCAAAAACGGACATCATTTTTTCTTATATCCTTTTATCAGAGAAAAAAGGAATCACTGTGTTCATTCCAATTATTTTCCTTTAGGATCACATGAAAAGAAGCAAAATTCACAAATATTTTTTAGCCTTTCATTTGTTTACTTTCCCTTCTACTACCACCATCATTTTTTTCTGGTTATACAAGAATTTTTCAGCCTTTTGAAAGATGAGTACACTGCATGTTAGAATGATAATGCTTTTATCCTTAATATTTTATTTTACAGTTATTAAAAGACTTGTCAAAACAACCTCGACATAAACTCCAAATGTATGTTCTACCTAATACTGAAAATAAAGTATGGGTTACAGATAGCAAAAGTCCATCTGCTACTTTCCTGTGATTGCGACGGAGAAATTCTCCTTTCTCCGGGTACTTCTCTATTACCTGTTTGTTATTAATTGTTTGATTAAATCAAAACAAACAGTCTGGTTATTAGGACATTAGGATCTTTGTAGGGTTCAAATGTCCTACATCTGTCTGTAGCTAGGTATTATCCTTTTTTTTTTCCCTCTCCTTAACAGTCAAGTTTTTTGAAAGAGTAGTTTTTATTCTACTGTTTCCATTTTCTTCCTTCTTACTCCCTTTTCAACTCACTGAAGTCTTATAGAAGCAAGACTGTTTTCGATTAAACCATTCTCTCCACAGTCACTATTGCTAAATCAAAGAAAATCTTTTTAATCTATCTAATGGGGCTTCTCTGAGCATTAACTCACTGGAAGTATGCTCTTTCCTGCTTGAAACTCTTTTCTTGGCTTTCTGTAACAGCAATGTCCACTGCTTTTCTAGTTTCTCCTCTCAGCCTCCCTGTAAGCTTCTCTTCCTGAAATATCAGTATTCCCTCGATTCCCAACACCTTTCTTCTCTTACGCTCTCTGCATGATCTCATCCCCTGGCCATGACTGCAACTAAATATGCCAAAGGGATCCCAAATCTTTATCTCCTGCCTAAACACGGTCTGTGAGCTTCAGACACATAGATGCAACGATCTATTCCTCGCAAGCATGTCAAACTTGTGGCCGCCAGACCGCATGCCTCGCCCACCGGCCGCAAGTTTGACATGCTTGCCTGAGAGATTCCATAGGCACCTTGAAGTCAACATGCTTAAAATTCAACTTCCAGCCCTAGCTGGTTTGGCTCAATGGATAGAGCGTCGGCCTGTGGACTGAAGGGTCCAGGGGTCGATTCTCATCAAGGGCACATGCCTGGGTTGCGGCCTCGATCCCCAGTAGGGAGCGTGCAGGAGGCAACCAATGATTCTCTCTTATCATTGATGTTTCTCTCTCTCTCCCTTTCTCTTCCTCTCTGGAATCAATAAAAATATATTTAAAAAAGTTCAACTTCCCACCTTTCCAATTGCCATAGCAACCAGCACCATTATTCACCCATTAGCTCAAGATAGAAACCTAGGAGTCAGTCAATCTTGATACTACCTCCCCACTTAAGATGTGGCTGGTCATCAGATCCTTTTGATTCTAGTTTTTTACTATATTTTGAATCTGCCTTTATTTATATTTAATTCGCTAACTTATACAGGTGTCTCTTATCTTGCTTTATGTCCTCCCCACCAAACCACTCTTTATATAGCAAAATGCAGATCTGATCCTGTCATTTCTTCTACTTAAAATCATCCAGTGGCTTCCCCATCACTTACCTTGAGTCTTGAAAGCCTGACGCCTTGGGCATAGCTTATAAGGCCTCTATGACCTTGATTCCAATTAGTTGCGTAGTACAGGCGATTCAGATCCCAGCCCTTCCATGTACTGTGCAACCTTGAGCATGTTAACTGTAAAATGGAGGTAATGATAGTTGTGAGGATTAAGTGGTTAATTTTCAATAAATGTTAGCTATTCTTTTAAATTATGATTAATAAAATAGTACTATTATCTCCTTAAGATAAATTCTCAAAGTGGAATTTCTGGGTGTCTATTTTTAAAACATACTGCCAAATTGCCCTGCAGAACAGTTATACCAATTCATACTCTCACCTATGGTAATAAGGCCCGTTTCGTCACTCTTGAGTTAATCCTGAGATGAACTATTTTAACAATCTTTGCTAAATTGATAAGTGAAAAATCACCTAGTGTTTCTAACTTATTGTGTCAATTTACATATTTGCCACAGAAAGATCAGCTATACATTGATAACAGGGTACTATTGATATTTACTCTTTCTTGGTTGTACATCTTAATTTGACATTGAGGTTTTTCATCTTTTTCTGAGCTTGGATTTCACGTCTTTGAACCCCTTTACCTCTTCCATTTCCTTAGGAATGAGTATGTCTTTATTTAAATGAATGCATTAAACACAATTCCTATTAGACTTTAAGGACTATATTTAGTTCAGTTTCTTTGTAAACCTTTAGATGGGGAGTGCAGGTGAGAGTTGAAGGACCCTTTTCTAATCTCAGTTTAGTCCCCAACTAGGTGTGCATCCGTGGGCAAGCCTCTTAACCTCTCTGGACCTTCACTTTCCTAGATATAAAATGAGTGGGATGGTACCAGGTAATGTCTTAGTCATTGTCTAGTTCTCATGTTACATAGGTAAAATTTTTATTCCATGAAGTTCGTTTGGAGGCAAACTCTTGGAATATTCCCTCCTCCTCTGTTGCAAATATGGACTGCTCTCCTCCAACACAGTGTCACCTCTTTGAGGCAGAACTTGCCTCTTTCCAGAACTTTGATTCATTTATATTGTGCCATGAGCCCTAGGACAATAACAGCAACTACCATCCATAAAACACAGCCAAAACTTAAATGTAAAGTAGGTCATAATTATTTTGCATGTAACAAAACCCTTTGAAAATCTGTTGAAAGCCAGGGACCAACTCACAGGAAAACACACATGTGCATATATGCACAACATTTTAAGGAGTCCCTAGACCCTCTGAAGCCAATTATGTATGTTTTCTCTAGGGATCCATGAATCCTAGGCTAAGAACACTTGCTTTGGGGACATTAAAATGATCCCTAGGATAAACTAAATGATCAAAAATGATTCCTTCCTATTGGAAAAGGGAGCTGCTAACTTAAGTACATATTTATAGAATATTATTAAAACTCTCTCTTTTCTTAAAATATATTTTTATTGATTTCAGAGAGAAAGGGAGAGGGAGACAGAGAGATAGAAACATCCATGATGAGAGAGAATCATTGGCTGCCTCCTGCATGCCCCACACTGGGGATTGAGCCCACAACCTGACCAGGAATCAAACCGTGACCTCCTGGTTCATAGGTCAACGCTCAACCACTGAGCCATGTCAGCTAGGCTAGTTTTATTCTATATCTTGTTTTTCTAATTAGATGATACACACCAGGAAGGCTCCTGTAATAGTTACCATAGCATCACAACACAAGGAAGGGACTCCAATATACTTGCTGTATAGATGTAGAAAGGGGACAGAGGTTTCAAGATGTGTCAGTAGAGTAAGGCTACTGAAGCTGCAGCATGTAAAGGGTACTCCATAAATTCACACGGTGCCTTTCAACCAGGCAAGATCAATGCTCTCTACCTCTAGGACAAAGATTCTCTCTCTTTTCCTCCCGTTCCCCAAATCCCAGCTCCTCCAACTAAGCAGACTTGAGATGCAACTACCCCTTCAAAACTGTTCTAAAACCAGCAGGTCTATGGTTAGATTGTCAGAGGTTTACTTGAGCTCAGAGAATCCCATGGAAGCTGCAGTAACACCTGCTGGCCACCAGAGGACAGGGAGCAGGGGGAGAGATTGCTTCCCCTCCGCGGGAGTCTTAGAGGTCAAAGGCAGTAGAATGTGGGCTCTCCACCCATGGCCCTCAGGCTTTTTTTTTAACTGGGTGAAGTGCCCAGCGGTCTCCCATTTCCAGATGGGCTCCTTTCCTCTAGAAGATGGGCTGGAAGTTCCCAGAGGCTTACCCCAATACTAACCTTAAACGATGATCAGTCATAGCCAGGGCACTTTAGTTGCAGGGCTTAAAGGCAGAAAAGACTTTTGGAGATGTTTTATCTTTCTAATCCACCCCAAACCTGGTTCTCTGTTCTTGAGCCAATTAAAAAAAAAAAAAAAGTCCCTTAGGCAGTGTCCACATGGACATTCCACAAGAAAGATGCCTTTAGGGACCGATGTCCCAAATGTAGTACATTGCAAATGGAATATTTTAGGAGTTAGATGATTCCTACACATAACTTCTGGCCGGAGCAGTCCGTTCTCAGTGTGCTTTTCCGTCATTAATCACATCTTTGTTATGTGATATCCACGTGAGTACTTCTCAGTCGAAGCAGCTCCATGCTCAAATGCTCAAAGAACACTAGAATAAAGCTCCGATTGTCCTCGTCAGTGATCCCAAGTCCTGGTTTGTCACCACCTCAGGTCTCCAGTTTTTCAAAGTGTGTAACGTGTCTCAAAACAAAGCTCTTGTAATTAAATCCAAAATACGAAAATGCACAAAGTGTATAGAGCTACCATCACAGGGTCTGGCACCTCCAGGGGCAGTGAACTTCTGGTCCGATTTAAAGACGATTGCGCACTGTTCCATGCAGAAAACATTTTTTAAAGAGAATGTTTGGCTGCTCGCGCTCATTCAAGTTGTAAATAGAAACAAGTCTAAGAAAACAGAAGCCCAGTGGAATAATGCTGGGGACATTCATGCGGGGGCTTCCAGCGACAAGCATGACAGAGGGCTGAGCGCCTGACAACACGAGCGCGACTTTTCTCCAAGTACCTGCAGCTTCGCTTTCATAACCCAGGGCCGTGCCCTAACGTTTGCCTTCGTCAGACTTTTTACAGGAGTGACTGTAACTCTCTCAAATCATTGTTTGCGTTTCTTCACGCTGGCGAGGCCGCTGGAAACGGCCCAAGCAGGAGGGAAAGGCGCTGGCTGGGTCTTGGGGCGGGGGGGTGGAGGGTGGAGGAACCCTTGAAATACCTGTTGGGGCGCAGCGCC